AAAGTGAAGATCTGGCCACCATATGGAATATTTTTAAAGAAAGTTTGCTTCTATTGGTTGGTTTTTGAGGGCTTCCTTTGTACTTTTGTCTTAATATGCCTGAGTATTGATAATTATTGTTGGCTGCACTCAGTGTAAGAATCTTGGGCACCACAGTGAAGAAGAAATGGCATTTGGAGCAACAGACCTTTTCCTGGGTCTTCCTTCAACAGTTCTGAAGACCAGAGACCCATTGTTCTACTGACGTTTCTAACCTATGGTTTGCTGATGAAGCAGTTACCTGTTGTTAAATTACCATCGTCACTTAGTGCTATTAAATCAAGTTGTTGAATTCTGTGAATCCTGCAACTGCAAAGGAGTTCATGGCCCAACCTGATTGCACTGAGGGCTGTGGCATACTACAAAGATCTCAACTGCAAAAAGTTGTCTTTGCTGGTGCTATTTGTGTGAAGGTTTCTTTAGCTCAGCATTTGAAGAACATTTATATCTAGTTCACATCCTACTATTATTAGTATATTATGATTTTTTATTTGCATTGAAAAGCACATTTATTTATGTCATACATGACTTAATCCTGTTCCCCAGACAATTATTGGCAGAATTCATTAACATCATTGAGAGCAGGAGCGGGAAATAGTCAGTCCTTTTGCTAAGTAACTCATACTGAAATAATCCAGTTTTGCTGTTTGCTCTTTATCATTGCTCTTTTTTTCTCCTCCTAAAGCTGTCAGTTGTTTTAATTTCTTTTCAGTTAACTAGACTGAAAAGTAACCTGTATTTTATTGTGAACTGAACTGCACTGCTTCCTCTGGATGCTCATTTCTCCCTCCCTATCAAGTCTTCAGCTGTTCTGGCTTAATGAGTTAGTGGGGAAAATACCTTTTGGACACCCATTATAGTCAGCAAAGCTCTGCAGTGCACAGATATAGAACACACCTTCCCTTGGGTTCATCAGAATCCAGATTATCTGCAAGTAATTCACTAATAAGGAGTTCTCCAATGAGTCAGCTGATTAAAGGCAATCCTATTCCCTCAGAGCTGTAATGCTGGCTTTTACAGCTATCTAGTGCACAAGGAGTACAGATCACTTCTTCCCTATCCTTGTTCTCCCTCACCAAAGGATCATGTTCTGCTTTTAGTGCTCAGTCAAAGAATTGTAAATGCTGCTGTGATGTGGGAGGAAAAAAGTTGGTAGAACAAATCCAGTACTTCCTGCAAGCAATTCCTGGGAACAGTGTACCAAACCTACTCCACTGAAGAGTGGAATGGTTTTTTTTTTGTTGTTGTTGTTTAATATTGGATGGTGGCACATTCAGGTGATCCTGACTGTTTCTCTTAAATCAGCGTTTTATTATTCCTTAATTTCTGAGTGTCTTTCTCTGCCCTGCCCCCCACTTAAGACCCTCAGCAGTTTACCTCAAGCACATAATTCTTCATTTCCCTACCTCATACCTCCCAATCTCAGAGTATTTTATCCCTTGTACCTTTCTCACTCAGCATGAAACTTCATACCCAGTCACTGAATGTGAATTGGGACAGGCAAAGACAAAGCTGTGGACATGAGTTGGTGTAAATAAGCTGATGGTCCCATTGCTGTGGGCCAAATCCTGCTTAGTCCCACATCTACTATTTCTTTTTGTTCTACATTTGCTCACCAAGCTGCCTGTGTCCACTGTGCAGTAGGAATGGATGGTGACAATGGAGCAGCTCCCCTGGGGCATGCAGTGACTGTGGGCACTCCCAGTGTGTCCAGCAGTATCCAGCCCAGCACCCAAATTGATTTCTGTTCATAGCTGATGTTAGTGGTGGGGTTGAGAATAGCCAAGGGCCAGCCAGCGCTGCAGGATGTGAAAGGCAGAGCAAAAGTGAAATGCCACAATGGTCTGGAGGAGATTAAGGCAAGTGGACTTCTTTCAATTCCTGTTCAGGCAACTCACTACGGGAAACGCGGTCTACTAAATCAGGTCTTCTGAGGGGAATAATGCAGATGAACTCCTCCACTAAATGCACAGGGAGAAAGTGCACTTTCAGACATGTTGCATTCAGTTTCTATTAAAATAAATCTGTATTTTGTTTTTCCTGCTTTTTTGACTACCCCTCTCCCCTTGCATTTTTTTCCTCCTCCGAATTGATTTAGGTCTCCTCTATGGACAACCCTTACGTCCGAAGGTGATTTGAGGAACTACTTTTGCCTTCATATACATAAATACAGACTAGCTAAGTAAGTGTCAGTTATAAAGCACTGCTGTTTTATATCCAATGGAAAATTTCTACCTAATTGCTTTGTGTATCACCTTGTCTAATCGTAACTGGCTGGGGAAGGATTGCAGAGCTGCTACTCTGCGATGTTTACTTCATCTTGGCTGCAGGGAGAATTCCTTGAAGATGTGATTATTGAAACAGAGTCTGGATGAGTGAAAAACAATTGCTCTGAATTTTAGTATTGCACCGGGCGATTACGTTCAAGCACTTCTTTTGCCTCTGTCTTAGGCAGTCTGAGTTGAAGAGGTGTCAACCAGCAAAGAGGTTGAAAAGAACAGACCAGGACTGCACCAGTCTCCATCAATCCATGGGACTGTATTTGGAAATCCAAGCCTATACTCAGCCCTAATGAAAAGGACAGTTCATGTATTTCATTGATCAACCTGCTGTTATCTCTTGGAAGTAAGTACCAGGAGGCTGAAAATACTGCACCTCTCCCCAACTTTAAAAACAAGTAAGCAAATGTTTTCCCAGCAGATAGAGTAATCGAAGTTCATGAGTGCTGATGGTATTCCTTCAGGAAGAAGAACTCTTCATCATATGGAAGTAGACAGTAGTACAGAATGGGACCAGGAGAGTTGATTGTCCAGTTGGAAAACCAGAGTAGGCTCAGAAGAGACAGTGCAGAGGAAAACACCTGTGCAAGTTCCCTCAGTACAAACGCTTCATGCCATGGTTGGGACAACCCTTATGGATGGCTTTATGGAAGAAATATATTGTGTGGTTGCTGGAGAGATATGTTTTCTTTGTCTGCCTTGAATTTTATGAAGAGAATATGAAAGATGATGTCTAGCAATTCCTAATCTAACAGTAACCACAACTAAACACAAAGGCTTTTCTGACTATAGTTTATTTCTTCTGTCTGCTCTTTCTGTTATAATGTATGTTAAACATTTGTATGAGATGTTCGAGCCTACAGTTCTGCTGAGATCAGTCTGGCCATAAATCTCTCCAGTCCTGCAGCAGACAGGTTTTGCTCTTTTACTCTGCTGTGACAAATTACAGACAAAGAGAGTAAGAGGTGCAGAGCACAGTACTCCAACCACCCATTCAACTTCATGTTTTCCAGCATGTTTCAAAAAAATGAGCAATTTCAGCTGAGTATGCCAACAGCAGAAGTATTTTTGCAAACCACTGTCCATGCCATAAACCTTCCCTGACAGAGATGTTGTTACATTTTGTGCAGTAATTACTACGAGCTCCTCTGTACATCCAATACAGTTGAAGATGGCACTTTGTGCTCTTTGGGAGTATCACTCAGCAACAGATACTCAGAGGGTGACGTGTAAGAGACAAGTGAGGTGGAGATGCAGGACCTGGGACCAAGCACTGAAACACGGGTAAAGGAAAATCAGGACGTATTTTTGCTCAGTTCTACCCTTGGTAGAATCTGCATGATTCAGTAAAGTCAAAGGGGAAACAAAGCAAGCAGATTTCAACTGAAAAATTTTGTAAAGGTCTGCTTTTACTGCAGAGGAATGTGCTAGGCTACAATCGCAGGAAAAGATGTTCTTTTCTGCATATCACTGCTGCCTTCAGTAAAGGTACATCATCAGTTAAAGACTTGCTTGCCTGTAGCATGAAAAAAAATTCTTCCCCTCCAACAGCAACCAAAGCTGTTCATATTTTCTACTTACAGGGTAAAAACTGATTCTATTAGATTCGGGAACTGATAAAATAAGGAGATTGAAAACATAAAGGAAAGCTGTAGGAGCTTGGTTTTGAGGCCATTGTAGTTAATCCAGAGTCTGGATAATTTACATCTGACTACAGTGTTTACGTATACTTTTTGTTGTGGTAGCCCCACAAGTATTTTTGTGACAGTTTCTTACTCTTCATTTGTTAATCAAGAAGTCTGTCATTACAAGTGTCATCCAATGGCACACATTACAAGTTTGGACTTTTTTTTTCTTCTGACAAAATGCCTTCTGCTGATAAGCTATAAGACTATAAAAATTTAAGGACCACACCCTGGGTCTGTGGCATATCCACTATATATTCCTCTTTCCTGTGGGCAGCCTCAACACTGTGTGTCTTTGTTCAGAGTTTGTGTGTTCTGATGCATCTTTGCTAATATCCAGCTGCAGTAACACTGAATTTCTAGTTGTATGTCTTTTCAAGCCCTTGCTAGTAAAGGGTTGCAGCAGAAGTGAGAGCTGGTTATGCAGTTCAGGAAATTGGGTGCAGTCACTTAGAGGCTGAAGAGAAAAATAGATTTGTAAACATCAGAGCTGTAAAAAACAAATAAACAAACAAACTAACCAACAACTCACTCCTCCAGTAATATTCCTACTTTTAAGATAGTTACAAAATAACATTCAGATATTTTATTCTGAGGATATATTTTATCCAGCAGGGGCTGAAGTGTGTTTTGCAGACAGAGAACAGATACATAATACATTTACAGAATTTCATGCATTAATGAAACTTAGGCAATTTTTTAATCATCATTAATTTTGATAACATTTGCATTAAAAACTGTCTGAGGCAAAATGGCATGCATTATTTTGCTTTGTTCCACTTTCCTGTTTTCATCATGGAAGAAACAAATGTGTTTATTTTACTGGCAATATTAAAGCAATCATATGATTTTGAGTAAGTCTTTTGAGATTGTTTGCAAGTTTTTGCTCTTCTGCATGTCTGCTTCCTCCCAGCTGGGGGCTGGCTGTTGTATGGAAAGGCCAACCACGTCACGGAAAAGCCCTGTCTCTGATCAGATGGGCTTAATATAAACCAGGTTTGCCGGGAGAGAATTAAAGGGGCAGCCCCAAAGCAGGAGAGGATTTACTTCAGCAGAGCAGTTCAGTGCACCACAACCCACTGAGAGAGAAGGGCAGTGTGAGCAAGAGACTGGACTGCCTGGAGGAGCCTGGCACAAGTAAGGCAGAGTGGATTCTGACCCGGTCTTTTACTGAAGGTGCTAGAGACCAAGGCAGCTAAAAGCAGTATAAGGTATCAAAATCAGTTTGAACCTGGAAGGCAGTGTGTGACAGGGACTCATTTGGCTTTGTTTAATGAAGGATGGTAATTTTTTAGAGTCTAAATTGTAAAATGTTTGTGTTTGTGATGGTTTTGTGAGTGACTGTTTATTGCAGGTTGTGAGTTAGGCTTTGTTGTTTGACTGAATCAAAGCTGGCTATTCTCATCTGGTCTTTTCAATGGGGACACTGCAGGGAAAAATGCATTTTAAAATTCAACCCTAGTAAATATTTAATTTTGTTTGTGAAGCAGCTTCTGCTTAGTGCCTGATTTCTAGTTTAGATATATTTCTTGCCGACAAAGTTACTGTGACTAGGACCATGCTTATAATCTCATTTTGCCCTGAAGTACTGCACATCACAGAGAAAATATTGTGTATGCCATAATAAGTTGAGACAGTACTTCTTCTGTGTATTTGACCTATGTCCTTCTGGGCACTTATTCACAGAAGTTTTTCAGACTTTTAGTTTTGCGTGAAGAAGAATAGTAATTTGTGCATGTTGCTCTGCTTTGCTGTACTTCTTATTGTTCACTACCTATTACTGAAGTCTGGAAGTTGTTGGGTGCATTTTATGGACAATTATCCTATTTACTAACATGGAAGAGAGAGCCGAGAAACAGAGATATATCACAAAAAAGCAAAATGTCTGAATAACTGTCACTTTGAGAGCTGGAATGTATCAAAGTAACTTTCCTAAAAATGGTAGCTGTTGGCTTGTGAGAATGACATCACTGTTCTCTGCCTCCAAGCAAGGCAAAATAGAGTTTATTGAGTAAAACGTAATTATGAGCTATACTTGGGCAAGAAGAGTGAACCTATCTAACTAATTGTGCAGTAAATGAAGTTATTGATTTAATATCTATAAATTAATGATAGTGATACCTCCTGTAGCAGCTATAACCTGTACCTCCTCAAAAGAGCTGTTGGACTTCACTGCATTGTCCCTCTTACCAGCTGAAAAGTCACTTTCTGAGGCAGAATCATTCTTTGTTTACCTGGCTACAGACAGGAGCCAAACTCAACCCATCATAGCAAGACTTGCTTGCATGGCTCTTTTCTTATTAACAGGGTTGTCTAAGAGTGCAGTGAGTGATGCCTTATTGCAGTGAGTGATGCCTTATTGCAGCGAGTGATGCCTTATTGCAGCGAGTGATGCCTTATTGCAGCGAGTGATGCCTTATTGCAGCGAGTGATGCCTTATTGCAGCGAGTGATGCCTTATTGCAGCGAGTGATGCCTTATTGCTTTCCCAAAAGTTTCAGCTCTTAACTGAGACAGTGAGAAAGAGCTGTACGTGCAGTTGCACTGGCAGTTGGAGACAACTGGGAGCAGTGCCTCCGTTTGCCTCCAGTCAATCCAAAGGATAGGGAGTGTTGCCTTGGCCACAGACAGCTTCTCAGCAGGCCTAGAGCTGCTGTGTAGAACGGGTGTGGTGAGCACTGCCCCTTCCTTCTCCTCCTGGGACACAGCAGTGTCTCCCTCTCTCCAGGTCTGGGCTGCACCTGGCATATCTGTGAGCTTGTAAAGGCTAAACAAGGTAGGATTTAGCATGTGAGGGTGGTATTTCCTCTATACTCTGACTCACTAAAGAGTAGTACTTCTTTGTGTGCTAGCAAGTACGAAAGAGTGCAGAAAGGCTAACTTTTCTCACATATTAGGTCCCTACAGAGGATGTGCTGCCTTGAAGTTTGTAAGAGAGCATTAATACATTTCTAAATGTTTTGTAGGTAACATTTGTGATTTTCCTGTTTCTCACTAGGAGTTCAAAATGACTCTCAACAACGTTACCATGCGTCGCACCCACAATAGCAGTCTGCACCAGCAGCAGCAGCGATGGAGCATCCCTGCTGATGGAAAGAATCTGCTGGTCCAGAAAGATTCCAATGAGTACAACCCACAGAAGCGATACACCATCAGTCCCGATGAATACTACAGAAGGAGCTGGTCCTCGGAGTCGTCTGACTCCGTCATCTCCTCCGAGTCTGGCAGCAACTGCTACCGGGTGGTGCTGATCGGGGAGCACAGCGTGGGGAAGTCCTCACTAGCCAACATCTTTGCAGGGGTGCATGACAGCATCGACAGTGATTGTGAGGTGCTGGGAGGTAGGTATTTATGTCCTGGGGTCTTTGTGTTTGCTTGCAGTCAGCTCTGCCAGTAGTAATTGGCACAAAAGAAACAGAGGCCGTTTAATAAAGAACAGAGGTAACAAACGTTTGGATCTGATCATCAAAACTGATTCAACTCAAGCATCTCTTTCAAGAAGACAAGAAAGGAAAATGAGATAAGTAAGATACCAACCATGACTGAAAGCCCCTGAAAGAGAGCAATTCAGATTCCCATGTTATTTCATTCCAAAATACCTGTTGGAAACTGCCTCATTCCTGCCTGTGATGATGATACACAAGAGGCTGCTTTAGCTTTCTTGTTGGTCCAACATTTGTGTCACCACTGGCTTCACAGGGCTGACTCCATCTTTCTTTGTGGGAGAGAACACAACTGAAGGTCCTCATGGTTTGCAAGAATTAAATATTTAGGAATTATATATGAAGAAAAAGTCACCTTCAAAATATTAGCCATGAGAAATCATCTCAGCCTTTCTGTATAAACACATAACCTCAGCACAGGCTGTATGGAGTTTGAGTAAAATATATAAAATTTTGAGTAAAAATCTCATTTCATGTTATTTGAACAGCATAGGTTCCCCCAGGGGCAAAACAGATAAATGTCGTTCAACAGAGTAAGAAAATTCCTACTGCCCACTGAGGAGGAAAAGGCACAAGCTATAGAGTTTTCTTTGATGCTTCCCCCTTGCTATCCTCCTCTGCTTTGTTTAGGATTGCAAAGTGTTCTTTAATCTGAAATATCAGATCATGCAGAAGGCGAAGCTGTGGCACCAAGTCCTGGGCTATATTGTGTGCAAGATGTTGATGTGGAAGTGTTGTGCTGCCACAAAAATCTGTGGTGGCTCTAAGGATGCAGTCACTGTTGCTCTCAGGGGACATGCAGTTTGCTGCCCGGTTTTGCTTGTCTGAAGTATGCAGGACTTCCTTTGTCTCTCCAGTATCCCTTACCTCTCCTGCCTGTACTCCCTTGGTGCAATGGTGCCAGTGCTAGCACAGACAGTTTCTGGGCTTCTCTTCCAGCCTTCAGTGGGGCATAGGATAGACAGCTTTTTTTTTTGTCTTTCACTCTCCAACTGGGGGAGGTTGTGCCCAGAATTTAATACAACCCAGCATCAGGAAGGTCAGACTCACATTTTCCCTGCTTGCTGTCAGACTGGGGGCACAGATCTTTGTGCCTTTGGGGAATTTGAAGTTCTTGGATTTATGTGTGCTCTGCCTTCAGCTTCTGCCATCAACTTTTCCTGTAGTTCTACCAGACCCTCAGCCTTGAGTATCTCTGATAAAAGTTTTCCTAGTGCTAAACGAGTGATGTAGAGTAGGACTGTGAGGCAAACAGTCAGAAAGTGTAGCTGATTTGCTTTGCACACCCCTGTCAGGCAGTTTTCTTCTTCATGTGAAGCCGTGGGGTTTCCTCTTTCCTTTGCACTCCCAGCAACATTGCTTGGAGTGTAGCAGTGACAGATTTTCAAGGCCAGCTCTGCTGAGGTACTGGAAAACTTGCTGTTGTTACATTTCTCCATTTTTAGTGTCAGCTTCAAAATAAGCACGACATGAACTAAGATCTCACTTTCAGTATGTTTTATATTGTATGAAAGTTCCTTAGGATTGACCAAGGTGCAAATCAGTGCTGAATATGACTATTTAGGCATAGTATTTTCTAGGAGTACCTATTTGTAGCTTCTCCATGTATAACAGGGTGGGGAAGGAGTCTTCTGGATGTTGTCTTCTGGTGTACATGGAGCTTGTTCTCACAAAGATGTTCAGTCACTTGAAGAAACTATTCTCCGAACTTTGGCTTATAAACTGGAAACTTTATTACAAGAGGGGATAGTTACCGGGTAGTCAGCTCACAGAGGAGTACAACTACTTTTTTGGACAGGCTTTGCTGTAAGATGAGGCTAACCCATAAGCACAGATGTCATGATACTGGGTCTGCAAGGGAAACCACTCCTAGTGATTAGCTCTGTCCTTTTAATCTTGCCATTTTAAGCTGTGTCAAGCACGGGCTCTCTATGATTTTATTTTAAATGTGTAATATTTTTGGCTCATTTTCTTTCATGGATGTAGATTCCTGGCTTTGAAGAAATACTGATTACAATTTAGGGCAGAGTTCACCCCATCAGTGCCCAGCAGAAGTCTTATGAGGCACAGGTTAGACACAGTCCTATCTACAAACATGGTTGGGACAGATCCTTCAAATGCTACGGTGAGAGAGCTGGTATGCTCAGAAGCCCTAAGGCTGGTTTTTTTTTTTTCACTGACCAGTAATGAAAGGTTAGAAATGAGTCCAACCCCCTTATAGCTCATCAAAATGTCCCCCTTCTTTGTGGAAAAGAAGAAAGATTAGTATTTGAAGTAGAAGCTAGACTGAGATTTCACAGCGAGGGTTGATCAAAATTCAACCCTTCCAGAGTGGGAAGTGCCTCCTCAGATGTAGGCAGAATTTTGCCACATAGCGTTTATAATCTAGGTATGAATTTTTGTGACCTCAGTGCAAAATAACTGACCTTCTATGGTTTGTTGATTCTTTTGCTGTTTTGACATCAAAGGCAATGTGGGAAACTGAGAAATGGGAAAGAACTAGGGCGCAGCAGAAGTCTCAGTGTCCCCAAACTCAGCAGCTGTTGTCTCCCACACCCTGTCCCCATTGCTTGGTCGGCTGTTGGCTGTATCGCTCTCCGCAGCAGTGACTGTTCACCCGTAAACTGTCCATGCTAAAGCGAAAGCAAATATTTTCCATTACTCAGCCTCGCTGGACTCTGCAGCTCCCATGGGGCAAATGTTCAGCCTTTGGTTATTTCTTCCACTGGTTCTATTTTCTCTCTCCCACATAAGATAAAGAGAGTATCAGCCAAAATAATGAACATTTTGTTTCCTGATCTTTCAGCCTCCTTCATATATCATGGAAAGTAAGACAACCAGTAATGAACAGAGTGCAGGTTCAGTGCTGATGGAAATGAGGAAAGAACTGAATGTGAGCCAACCTCAAATTTGGCTCAATAACTTCAACTATGAACAAGTTACCCATATTCAACTACTTGTTTTTTCCTAATGTACATGATACCACAAAATAATATATTACCAACCTTTCTGCTTTTTTTCTAGAAGACACGTATGAAAGAACCCTGATGGTGGATGGGGAAAGTGCAACCATTATACTGCTTGACATGTGGGATAATAAGGTACTTTATTTGTTCTAGTCAAACACTGAATGAAAAGTGCATATGAATGACTGCTAATATCAAAAGTAGGGATCTTTTGGGAAAGAAAATAAGTGTTTTCCATACAGCAAAATCAGAGAAAATATACAATTAATGCTACCCCCATATCAAGGCAAGCACGTCTAATGGCTCTGCAGTTTGAGCCTGAGAAGTTCAAATCTTCATCTTTTCAATCATAAGACAAAACACTCAAGCTTTTTTCCAGACCACGTTCATTCCAGTCTAAAGCCAGTACAATGAATTATCTGGGGCAAGTTTTGCCCTCCTTTGTGGCGGAGTATTCATACCATCACCACATTGGAATTACTTTTAGTATAACTGTGATTCAAACCATACCCATTACAGTTTACAGCAGGAATGTATTTGGATTCTCTAATGTTTTACTTTCTAAGTAAAACCTGCTCTGGGCATAACGATGTCTGACTATTTCATTTGAACAGCGTGAGGGAGAATGGATTCGAGACCACTGCATGCAAGTGGGAGATGCCTACTTGATTGTCTACTCCATCACAGACCGAGCGAGCTTTGAGAAGGCCTCTGAACTCAGAATACAACTCCGCAGAGCACGCCAGAAAGAGGATATTCCCATTATTTTGGTTGGCAACAAAAGTGACCTTGTCAGGTGCCGTGAAGTTTCAGTGGCAGGTAAGGAAAACGATAAGCATAAACCCAACATAAACACTAAAAGTCATCTAGTAGCTTTTGGGCAAACTCTGGCTGAGGGAATATGCTGTGATCAGGACTGGGCAATAAAAAAGCAGTAAAACAACAGAGGACCAGAACACAGGACAGAGGACTGGGTGGGGTCTGCCACTTCCTTAAGCCTTCCTTGGTAATGCTGTTATATGTCAGATAATCCCTTTTCTACATTTATTAAGTACCCCCATAAAAGCAGCTTGAATTGCTTTCCTTCCAGCTCCTAGTGTAAGACCACTGCAGTATGTGATTTCTCCAGTAGCTGGAAACACTTTGGATTCCCAACACATATTTACGTATAACGAGTTTAGCCCCCTTTATTCTGCTGACAAAGACTCTCTTCTTTATAACCTGTTCTCTGCCCTCACTGAAAATGAAATTCCTTCTCAACCTGTGTTTTGCTAGTTTGGGCAGGGACTGTGCAGCCTTTCAGGAGAGGTTTCCTTGTTGCCTTACTTTGGGATACTAAACCAGCCCTCCCTTGGCTGCACACAAATGAACAACCACTAAGCCCATAAATAGGAATTGAGAGACTGCTGAGAAGCTGACTCTCGACATCTGCAATCAGTAAAATCTCTTCTTGAAGAGCCTTCCCCCAGGCTTAGGTGACACAACATAACACAACAGTGTGATCTCATCTTGGCGCATCAGAAACATGGGTTCCTCTGTTTGACATTTTCTTGTCTCTTCAGCTATTCTGCTCTTCTCTTTCCCAGCTGAGCTAAACTAGCTTTTTTCTCTGGGTATGTGCACAGTTCCTCTGGCTCCTGTCACAGTTGCCCCAAGTGAAGAGTTTTAACTGAGGAGTTCATAGAGAGCTCAGGGATGGCTCTCATTCCTCTCTGTATTCATGTCTCTTTAGTGGTCCTATCAATGAGTTCACAGCACACCAGACGACAGCATAAATTGGCTTGTGTGTGAAAGACAATTGTCAGGTTTAGCTTAGCTTAGGCTCACGTAAGGTAAGAACTATGACTTCACATGCACTCCTAAAGCCACAGACATAGTTCTGCCTTTATTAAGGGTTTTGTACATAAGTCTGTTCACACCAAAGCTGCTACTGTCCCCAGATCCCTGTTTACAGACACAGCCCATAGAGGAGGATGGTGTCCTACCTCCTATGCTGTGCTGTGTGCCTGCAGGTCACCCTTAAATGCAGCTTGAGGGAGCCTACATGTAAGATAGCCATGTGTTTTTGAGCCTCCCAGCTTCTGGTGTCCCAGCTCAAGTCGGTCAGTCCCAGCTTCCTTTGCAGCCAGCAGGAGGGCCAGGGCTTTTCCAGGAGGGGATTTGCCCCCCCTCTCTGGGAAGGGACTGTGACACAGAGCAGATGAATCATGGGCTAGCGGGCAGCATGAGATGATTAAAGACTTATCTGTGCCTATATTAAGCTTGAGGAATTCCCTGGTGGCTCTGACTCCCCCACACGTGGCAACCTATGGTTCTGATTCCCCCCCGCCCCCGCTGCCCCTGGGGCTCATGACCCGCTGTGACGTGTCCACCTTGCAATTTTACAGAGGGACGAGCCTGCGCCGTCGTGTTTGACTGCAAGTTCATCGAGACCTCAGCAGCTGTGCAGCACAACGTGAAAGAGCTGTTTGAAGGCATCGTGCGGCAAGTCCGGCTCCGGAGGGATAGCAAGGAAAAGAATGAGAAGCGACTGGCACTACAGAAACGGAGAGAGAGTATCCCCAAGAAAGCCAGGCGGTTTTGGGGCAAAATAGTTGCCAAGAACAACAAGAACATGGCCTTCAAACTCAAGTCCAAGTCTTGCCATGACCTATCAGTACTTTAAGAGTGCTGGACTCTGCCAGAGCTTGTGGCATTTTACGGACATTATCTAACTTTGTCATGGGACAATCAATCAATCTATATTAGATTGGGCTATCAGTGACTTAGGTTCACAGTTGTGGTTATGATGATACGTGCTGGCATAAGAACAGCACAGTGTATGGAAATATCTCTCTTCCTTTTTTCTTTTCCCCAGTAGTTTTAAAAGAAATATATAGACCAGAATGACCCAAAATTATGCTGGGAAATGTTCTGGAATACCTGTTCTTTCTCCTCTTGCCTTTTGATAATAGTATAAGAACCTTGAATGCCGTGATGTGGGAAGTGGATACTACTGTCTATACTCTCCTTGTTATTAATATTTCCTTTTTAAAACTTTGTAAAGAATTGAGGAACTGACTGGGGATTGGCCCCTTGCTAGTTGGCTGGTCAGGCTTGGGCACCCACAGCTGAAAAAAAATGCATTTTTGTAAAATAGCAGCCAAGACACCTGTTCTGTTTTTGGTTTTGGGTTTTTTGTTTTGGTTTTTTTTTTTTTTTAATTGAAGATTAGTTTCAGTGAGTTTACACATCTCTTACTCTGAAAATATTTAAAGGAAAAATCCTATAACCAAACAACTTTTCCTCTGATATTTTAACATTATGGGACTGTTTAAAAATCATAGTAAAATTAAGAGTGCAAGTTGTATCAAAGTGCATCAAGTGCAGGATGCCAAACCTTTATAAGTCACCTGAGCTTTTTTATGAACCCACATGGATTTCTTGTATCCAGTCTTGGCCTTTCTCCATGCCAGAGCTATGCTGTATTTATTGTTGTGCAAAGTAACAAGCATTTTAATGTTGAGGGGAAATGTATTTATTACCAATTTTCTTAAATAATATTGTTAATTTTATTACTGTTTTCTATCTAATATCTTTTTTTTTTCAGATATGCAAGTTTTTACTTACAGGCCTTCTAATAAAATAAATAAAAAATATGAATGCCTTTGAGCCTCAGTGGGAAATCCCTAAGAATGTTTTCAATATTTTGAATGCTGGGCAAAATTGCTACTCGAGAAGTGCAATGAGGATTCCTTACATCTCTAAACACAGCCTACTTGGTAACCTAGGATCACAAGGCAAGAATCACCTGGAACCTCAAAGATATGAGTGCACAGTATCCCTCCCATACAAATGGGGTTGAAAATAAATAATTCCTAGAAAAGGTATTTGGCCTTTAGCCTGGAAACACTTTAGAAATGTAGATGAGTACCATTACCTCAATTTTGGAGGGAAGTGGATGGGTAAAAGATCACACTGCAGGGTGACTCTGTGCTATCGAGAACTCCCTGGAAGGGTATTCCTGATATAGAAGAAAGTGTTGATAAGAACAGAAAACAAAACCTTTTGAAAAGAGCAGAGACAAGATCCATGTTGCTGAATTTTGAATTAATGCTTTTGAGCTGCTGGCATGCAACCAAGTCTAGAGAATTTTGTTTTCAGAACTTTTAAACTCTCAGAACCTTTTCCCCACTCAAGAATAGAGAGAAAGTGCACAGATTAAAGAAATTTTTAAGGTCATATTTAAGAATTGAAAGTATAGTTGTATGCAACCAGCACATTTCTTTAGTCTATTCTATATCAGTCAAGCTACAACTCTAAACCAAACAGGATTTGAAGAAATGTAAAATGTCCATGTTGATCATACAGCCTTTAGGGATAAAACCCGTCCATGTTCACAGCATCACCTGATACATAGATGGCATCATAAAAATTTGGAGTTACCTACTAAGTTTTCATGCCCTCACTTGTCTCTTTCCACTTCTTCCAGGATAATAAAAAATCCTTCTAAACCATGATTTTAAAAAGAAAAAAAACCAATGTGATAGGACCATTCCCCAGAGCTGTCACAAGTTGCTACGAAGAACCATGTGGTGGGCACAATGTGTCACTTTGTTTTTCCTGTGGACGTGGTAAACAGACATGACTGCAATTCTGTCTTTGGGACTGCTGTTCTGAAAGGCTCAGCACTACCTTTGGACCAAATCAATTTAAAGATATGCTTCCACCTTCCATGTCCCAGTCATTCTCTCACTGGCCCTCTTGGTTCACCCTGCAGGCTCCTGGCTTACCCTGAGCTTTCAGGGAGAACACAGGAGAAGCTGTGGGGTAAAGAAACGTGAGCAGCAGCATCCGCTCCATGGAGCTGTTGCTTCAGTTCACTCGAACAGCATTTACACTCTCTGACCTCTGGATGTGGAGTGAAAGAGCTGGTGCTGAGTATCCATACTCTGCACATTTCAGGGTTTGCTTTTTTTTTTTTTCTTTGGACTCAGTCTAATCTGGTTCTGTGGACTAATTGTCCACCTGGGACTGCAATCCCTGAGATGCAATCCTGAAGGACACTGTGAGTTTCCTGTGAAGGACACTGCAATCATCTGCTGTGATCTGCATGGCTCCAGTGAGCTGGGCATGGAGGAAGAGCTGGGGCTTTCCTTTTTCAGCTTATGAGATGAAATCTGCGTCATGGTTTTAGTTGATCATCACCAGATTACCAAATACAGCAACTCTTACTACATATAACAGCTAGTGTACCTGGAATGACTGATTAATACTAACTTAATCTGGAATGCTGGAATATTCACAATCCCTCTGTTCATCTCAGATGTGAATGTCCAAAACCATGGGACAGATCAATCAGCAATTCTAATCACTGTTCTGGCTATTTATTAAGTCAGAGCTACAGTGACAGATCCTAATGCAATAATTACAATACCGGGCCCAGAGATCTGGCAGAAGCTGTGGAATACGTGAGTCACAGCAGTGAGCACACCAAGGCCAAAAAGGCAAAACTCACAGAGTCCAAATAAAATAAAATAAATACAGAACAAAAAAGTCTAAGAACACACAAAATGCCAATTATAGTGCAATAACTGTTATAAAAAGCTCTTTTCAAGAAGATAGATCAGATCTGCGAGAGGAATTATGGAGTATGTTCAGCTTTAATTAATTTAATTATGACCGATGAACTGCAAGAAGAAAGGTGTACTTATGCTTTGGGACAAAAAAATCACACAAAAGAATTATTTGTTATTATGGCACTATGTGGATTTGCAGGGATGTGGATGCTTTTGGATGTGGAAGAATTATTGATAAAATTTAGTCAGGTAAAATAAAGATATTTTCAATTAAATCAATGGGTGTGCTGTGGATTTAACCCTCACATATTCAAGCCGTTCAACGTCAACCCCTTGGAAAGCTTTAGAGACCAGAGGTCTCTCTCTGAGGCTGTTAGGAGTTGAGATAGAAATGGGAGAAAGGGCTCCTGACAGTGTCAGTCCTGGTGATGATAATGAGATCTACAGAGAGCTGCCTCGGAGAAAGGAAGCAGTTGAGTTCTGTGCAGTATTGCCTTTATAATCTGCTACAGCTCTTCCTTCTCTCTAGGAAGGCTTTTTAGAGAAAGCTGTTGCACCCAGAGAAGAGGCGAGGTACTGAAGAGATCCCTGAATTGATAAGTTATTGAATCTTCAAAAGTGAACTTACAGTTCACACTTTGCAACACCTCTGAAGACTTTAGAGCTGAATGCATTGCTCAAATCATTCCTGTGCCTGAACCACAAAGGCTGGAGATAGATGCTCGTGAGAGCTGTGAGGCTGGTCCCCCTCAGGCTCTCTTTTGTGGATTAAGCATTCCTCAGTTAGGAGGGCAAATGCTGTGGGCTGTGATGGTATTCAGCACACTGCAAGTATTTATCAGATGTCGCTTCCAGGTGCATTAAATAATATTTAATGAGAACTGCCCACCTTGTCTGCAGTACCCACCAGTTCTGGTTCAGTGGGGTTGCTTTCAGAAGGAACCATGGGCTAGATGGGATGCAGGGTAGGAATGGCTGCAGAAAATAGAGTGAATCCCAGCAAATGCCACAACCAGAAATTCCATGATGTTAGTGTGCAGCCTGACAATCTCCCCACCTGCCTTCTCCTTCTGATTTTCTCACTCCAGAAATGTCCCATGGGTGTTGCAGTGAGCCCAGCCTCCTCTCTCAGGGACCACCCTCAAACAGGGGTCTGCAGTATTCTGCCTTTGTCTTCTGTAATCACATATGAAAGATCATCGAGGTAGTGTTTTTTTGCCCAGAGACACTGATATTCAGTGTACTAATTACTTGTGATTTTAGCAATTTTGCTGCAACAGGTTCCCTCTTGTCAGACAGCGAGGACAATGCACCCTCAAGAGAGCACATGAGTCCTGTGTGGCTCACTTTACAGGGCCACCTGTAACCTGGTTAATAATTTGCTAAGAAAATGATTGGTGTAACACACTTCCTCCAAGTTCTGAAATTTATGCATAAATAATTTTAAAATGGAATTATTTCTAAGTAACAGTAATTTCTAAGCTGATACTCTGCGTGTGTGCACCCGAAAGCCTCCTGCTAGACAAAGGTTACCCAGAGCCAAACTTTGACTGCTCTTTGGGGCAACAGGAGAAAGGGGAGGTGGGAATTTTCAATCAGAAAATTCAGGCTGTTACATGGTTACACTTAAGGATGCCTAATTTCAGCTCCTGCAGCTGTCCTTACTGCATGCAGGACTAGCATTTCTTCCCCTCTTGCACTGCTCTCTCGGTGGGTGTGGGGAGCCCAGGATGCCACATCCCCACTGGACCTGGCATTGCCCCCCTGAGGCTCAGTGAGCAGTGGGAGAGCCGGAAGGACCAGCGGGAAGGCACTGGGCAGGCAACCCTGCCATGCAGGGGTGACGGGGAGCATGGTGACCAGACCTCTAGCTCTGCTGAGCTTTGCATCCATTCTCTGGTGCGATGTGTATCACTGAATTGCTTGATGGTTTAACTTCCACTGAACTGAGAATGAACCTCAATAATTTTGACGTGGCCAAGATGCTGTTTCTGCATCTACCTATGGCTTTGAGTAGTGTGTGTGTATTTCTACTATTCACAGCTTTGCTCTAACATTGCTCAGGATGTGTTCCCTCCCTAAACACTGTCGAATCCCTGAGAGATGCCAAGTAGGATGTTCTCAAGCTTTGCCACCATAATATCATTTTAGTTGCTTTTAAACTATGCTTTCAGTCTTCTGTGTTATAAAGTTTTCCTCCTCCCCTTGATGCAATCTTGTGTCATGAATGGCTGCATTTGCTCCTCCTTGGCTTGCTCCATGCATATGTAAGCCACAGGAGCTGGGATGCTCCCTTAGCACCCATGGCAGGATTTTTGCCGGCAGTAGTATTTGGAAATCACCCAGCCCCACTAGGATGTGTGTAAAATCCTTTGGCACATGGACTTTGACAGAAGAGGCTCCACTGGCATTGGTGCTGTGGCTGGGATGGTGTGCCCAGCTGATGAAGTCCAGGGAATGGAGGTGCCCAGTGCAGCTGTACTGACACAATCCATCAGCAAATGCAAAACACCTTGGCAGGAGCATGCTAAACTCCTGTCTATGTCCCAGGCACTCCTTAGCATGTTGATAGAGAAAGTGTGGAAAAAGCTTGCAGTAAATAAGCCTGCAGTTTAGAGAGGTGAAGGAGTAAATATGCCTCTCTCACATCCCTGATAAGGGCTCTACACATGCACAAATCCATCCTCTGATGTTTTCAGCAAAGCAAATTGATATTCCTTCGGTTATGGACTTCAGACTGCCCTTGGATAATTATCAAAAAAGAATCTAAGGACACAGAGAGAAGAAATGCCCAACTACTTTGGACCTGTGGCACTTCCAGCTCTGTGCTCTCTCTGAGAAGGAAAGGGAAAGTGGCAATAGGAGATGCTGTTTAGGAAAATCACCTTATGAACAGGAATTTTTCTCTCACTTTCTCCACTAGCTTTGTGAAACTGAAATTATCTATCATTTCACCCTCAGCTTTCTCCTCTCCACAATGAAAAGTCCC